GCTAACGATCTAATTTGCAGCAACCAATTCTCGCTGGGATCAATAATTAAAACAGAGCCGAAATGCCATTTGAGGAAAAGCAATTTATTTAAATCAGATGGATCGTCGAAATGTCAGAGAGCTGCTTGACAAATTAGAAACTTGAAATTAGTAAATTGCTCCTGAAATTACATAATGTTACGGAAGCAACCGACCTTTTAACGCCCATGGAAACGAGATTTTACTATTAAATTTAACTCAAGCGTAGTTTTAGTTGGTTCATAATTTGGAAAGATATGACACACCAGTTGTTAATTAAAGTTTTCAATAAGATTTTCTTTAACACCAATTTGGGAATTATAATCCAATTTTACAATTTTTCTTTGCCATGAAAGTAAAAATTGCTGTTAAATTATTCATATTCGGAAATATCACAATTTGATAATGTGTGACACACATTTTCAGTTACAGGTGTAAATATAAATTACATATTCTTCAAAACAATTTGAACGTTGCTAATCCTTTGACCAAATACATTTTTGGCAATTTTACGCTACAATTCGTGGGCTTTAAACTTTACAGATTAAATTTGAATTTTGGACAGTTGAAAAATGAAAAACACTGAATATTACCCGGATTAGAGATTTTATCAAGAATTTTCCCGGCGACATTGTGTTGCGTTTTGACATTGAGTTTGTCGTTTTTCTCATTTGCAGCCTCTATTTTAATTACTCTGGCCCGAGCGTCAGTAATTACACCAATATTTCATTTCACTTGAACCATTTGTTTCCTTTCCGTGACAAATTTTAGAAGTAATAACAAAAGATGGTATGGTCAACCTGGAAAATGTGACCCATTTATTTTCCAACAAATTATTTTGTGGGTTTCGCAATTTACCCGTTAGGTGACCGTAAATTCCATCTATCCCACTGACTGAGACGGAATGCCGAGTTCTCGCTTGAGTTGAGGATCTGGAAAATTTTTATATTAAACGTTACCCTTTTCGTTCTAGAAATGGTTTTCTTGGTGGCAAATTGGTTCACCGAATGGAAAATATTGTAAACAGCTTTTAAAGGCGTTACATCGAAATTTCCATTCCACTTCTTTTTTTTTCGCTTCAGTTAACATTCCATAGACTTTAATCAAGGTGAAATGTTCGTTTTACAGATTCTCCCTATTGCCCACTCAATGTATTTTTAGTAAAACTTGTTAGCCTTATTTCAAGCAATTAAAGCGAGCACGTTAGTGCCAGCAGACGGCTGCTTATATATTCTCGTCATTTTCTGTTTATACAATTTTTTCACAGAAAAAGATACATGTAAAGTCCTTCGTGCTAATTCTCGGATGGGAATAAGCTAGGTGAATTATGAGCCTTGCTTGGTGGTTTCACAATGCTTAAAACTGCCGCTCTGAAACAGATTGCCGACTTTCATAAAAGGAATACAGGACTCAGGTGGACGCCCACAAACAGAAGTCCATCGCGCCGATAAATTACTCTAACTATACACTGCAGTGAAATTGTACTCTTTTTGGTTGTTTTTACTATTTGCTGAAGGAAAGCAAATCAGTGGTGATACGAGGCTTAAGCAAAAAAACGAGTTAAAAAATGTAATTTAGATTAAAAAGTAAAAGCACGTGCAATATAGATGTGACCAAGTTTTCCAACTTCTTTTCCAAACTAGACATACATTAACAACCTGTATTTCTGCTTGAGAAAAGCTATAAACGTTTGTTAAACTGTAAAAATTATCCTATTTCAGATTACATAAATTTTTATCATAATTTGATCGAATATGACACGCCGATTATTTATGATTTTTGGGATTGTTCGTTTCTAATACTCTGTATGTACCCCTAAGTACGAATTACTATTACTGTTTGAATTAAAGACTAGGTTTTCCGTCGGATTTATGCAATTTTTGAGTGAACGTGATCTACTGATTGTTTCCATAAACCAAACAAAATAATTGCTTTTAAGGGTTCTACCATACCGATCTCCTACATTTGGAAAACTTTAAGCGGGAAATTTATACCCAATGAAATGCCAGTGAATGTATTATAAAAGCTAAAAGGAAAACAAGTAAAAAGGCTTATCCGTCCCTTGTCACATTGATTTAGAGAGAGTTTTTTGTTGGCACCTTTTTTTGCTGTTTTGCCAGGTAAACATTTAAAGGCCTTCTAACAGCCGTGCCTGTAAGCCGATGCCATTTAACATATCAATCGAAAATCCCTCTTGAAAAAAGATGTACAGTCTGTTAACATTTGTTAACGTTTTTTTGGTATCAAGATGGTCATTTTCAAAAAATAATTTTTTGCTGGACAATCCAAAACGTAAAAAATATTTTAATTAAAATAAATAAATTAAGTATAAATAAAAAAGTATAATGGTCGATTTAGCTTGCATTTTCCGAGCATTTCCAAGATTCCAAAGTTGTTTTATCATTTTCTTCATGACAAAGCGTTGAAAACGCTGCTGCATACATTTTTTTCTTGTTGTCATATGTGAACATATTTGAAAACTGAATTCCCTGGTCACATTTAAAATAATTGTTATTCAATACAGATGTAGTAATTTAAAATAATTATTTCATTACAAGTTAAAAATATAATTGTTGGAAAAACCTTATCGGTGACTGAGTATTTGCTTTTGATTTGAATAGTTATTGAACGCATTTCTGCTCTAGATTGCTTCACGCGAGCTAAATAATTCTCATCACTCGCCTAACGAAACATTGGTTTAATGCTGAGACGATCCTATTTTATGAAATTCTGAAAATTGTGTTGTTTTAACCAAATACTTAAAACTAACGTTCTTTTCCTGCCATGAAAAGCTTCCTTTTAAATATCTCAGCTCTAATGTAAAAGTTCCTACTAGGCTCAGGATTTTTCCTGAAAAATGTTCATTGATATTCTGTTCATCATCGTATGAAATACAGTCCAAGATTCAACCACTTCGGTCCTAATGATCTGCTTGATAAACAATTAGACGCAGGAAATGTACGTAGAATTTGCGCAGCATTCCCGGATCTTTATGTCGGTTTGCTTAATTAAAAGTAAGGATTTGAGCAAAAGGGAACTCGCTGCAGAAACCGAAATCCAAATGACTTAAGCTGATTATAACTCGGTTCTGCGGTAGGTTAGCAGTATTTAATTGCCTTGCTGTTTGATGTGTTTTGGTCTGCCGTAGCAAAAATTAATAAACTCCAACCAGGCTAAATTGAAACAGCATGTTTGATAGATATATATTCAGTGCAAGCTAATTTTCCTCAAACAGAGAACTTACGTTGTAGAAACACTTCAAGAGCAATACCGCAAGACTCTCTGAATCTAATGTTTGCCTTCCATCCGTAAATTCAATACGATGAAACTAAAAGCGAAATTAAACGTCCTGTTCCACGTTGGTTCTGTTCAATTTTGCGTAAATCTCCACCGCGTCGAGAACACGTTTCCAACATTCATCAAAGTTTTACTGTGTTAAATCAAGCGAATTGTCTGTATCGCTGCTGGAAAAACCTAAAGTACAATTTAATAAAGTAGATTGGAAACAGCTTTTTCCGCTTTGGAGACACGTGACGGTAGATAGCGGGACAAAATATTGGAAAACCGAATTACTTATTTTGGATATTACAATAAATCGATTTTCACTTTAAAATAAATCGAGTGGAAACGATGATCAATAGGTTTATCGCTGAACGTCCTGGTTAGGTGCTTGTGTGAAAGTATAATTCATTTCCAGTTGTATTCGTTTATCTAGCTAATATTATGAGCTTTACTGTTTCAAAATATTGTGTGGAAAACTGGAGATAATGATGTTTTATTAATGCTGGAATATTTCGACTGCTAGGCAGTGTCGATAATTCTCCTTTAAACTGAACCCGACTAAATTAATGAGCATCGAAATATCGTTGCAAGAAATTAGCAAGCATCCTCAGCCCTAAGGATACGAAATAAATATATTTTTTGAAAGGTTTTAAAGATTTTATTATTGCAATAACTGTGTTCTGGAAGCCAAAAATATGTTCGTATCCATTCCCTACATACCCTCGATTGGGCCCTACATCTGTTTACATCAATATAAAAGTTTCTATTATTCTCTGATTTTTCTTCAAAATAATGACAATAAACGGCTCAAGCACGACTTGAGTTTCAATAGACGAAAGGGAAGAGATTTCAAAATTAGACCACTCATTTGATTCATTTAGAGGTTTTTGATGCTTTTTCAGACACATTTAGCAACGCTTTTTTTCTTAACTCAAACACCATGTAAGCACTGAGATGGGCACAAAATTTCGTTTCTTAGCTTACATTACGTAGCTACGTTTTTATATCTTTTTCCCAAACAAAATCTAGTTTTTTTTGGCCAGGATTCAAGGACTTTAATAAGCCGATGAATATTTAATCTTAATTCTTTTGATCGAAAAAATTTTTGTTTCGAAATAATTTTAATGGGGTTTTCATCTGGAATCGTTGATAATGCCCTATTCTAGACGCAAAATCTTCTCATGCAGAAAAAATCAAATTGATGGCCACAGAAATAGTATTAAAGTAGCGACAGAAGATGCGTCTTAAACGACTTATACGTTGACTAAACGCTTCAATTCGCTGAACCTTATTTATGTTCAACCGCAAAGTCTCAGATATTTTTCTCCGGTTTCCAGCTTTAACCAACGGTATTTGTTCTATTAGAGCCTAGACCACTCTGTGTATGCATTTTGAGGAACTGTGTAAGGCAAAAGCGAATAATCGGGCAGAAAGCTAACAAGGCAGACACCTATAACTTCGATTTTTTACCGAAAATTTTATAAAGCTTGAGTGTTTGAGAAACCCAAATCGGTCAAATTTCTTCTAAATTCTAAAGCACGTAGTAAGGAGGCGAGTTCTACGAGTGCACTAATGGTCTTTAGATTATTTTTTTCGTACAATGTAGGACTTTTTTGAACGGTTATTCAAGGAAGCCTTCTTATCAATTTCACCCATTAACATTAATTAGTAGTATTTTAAAATCGTTATTTTGATTTCAGCTGAGCGAGGAACTTGGTTATGTGCTGTATTCGGCATTAGGCTCCTTCTACATACCATCGTGTATCATGGTATTTGTCTACATACGGATATACTATGCAGCGAAAGCAAGAGCGAGAAGAGGGATTCGCAAGCCTCCTCGAAAGCCAGCTTTAGACGCACAAACGAGCTTCACGAATTCACCAGGCGGTGGTACAGTCAAAAATGGTAGGTCCTTCCAACATTCATAATTAAAACTCTATTTCTGTTGACTAGTGATAACTAATAAAATTAGAAGCAGCAAAAAAGAAAACGCAATGATAGCTCCGGTTATAAATTCAATATTGCGGGAAAATTCGACAGATACATCTAATATTTTTCAACCAGTGTCCAACTTTCCGCAATATATTAACTCTTTGCTCACAATTCCGGCTTGCGTCGCCTGGGGACTCGGAAAACTAGTTTTGAAAGCATCTGTGGTTAGTTCATCGGGTGCAGGGATTTAAACGGATTAAATCCACGGTAATCGATAAAAGAACCTGGAAATTGTTTTGCCTCCTGTTTTCCTTTGGACAACGTCAAAAGTGTTTAATCCGAAACTATGAACGAATAAACACAGTTAGTGTTTAGGGGATGCTTTCAGGATTAGATTTTATAAATTCGAAACGCCTTTGCTTTGCCGCGAGTTAGAGTCAGCTCAAAGTGTTGCATGAGCAACGTATAAAAACTCAGCTAAAGACCAGCTTTTTTGGGCGATCAGCAAGTCAGGCGACCAAGGCATTTTTAAGGGCCAGAAATAACATATAAATACAACAGCAATCGGGAAAATGTATGTCCATAAAACGTAAAAGATCACTTTGTGCATTGGAGCAGGATATTTTCATAAAATTTCACTTTGGAGCGAAGGGTCCTTGGAATGGCAAAATTTGCGAGACAAAAGAAGCGCTTAATATTTATTCTCCACATCAACTGTACTGGAAATGGGTTTCGTGCAGTTTCAGAGTTTATCGAGGCATTCTGACTAGCATTTCTATATGAAATACGATATACACTCTCCCCTGACTTTCTCCAACAGATATTTTAAAATGCTCAGTAGAGATTGATCTTAAGGCAAGTTGAAGCCGAGTTTCCCGGCAAGCACTAATTGATTGTACCCGATTTCCGGAAGACCCTTGTTATACTCCTGCTCTAGACAAGATTTTAATTTTATCCAGCAAAATGTAATAGGGTTGCAGCTTGGCCAGACCATGATTCAAATGTCCTAGGCAATCCGTTCTATTAGGGCAATGCTTATTGATTTTATCCTTGCAATCCTCAAACTGGCTTGCTGCTGAGATTTCATCTATTTTGTGACAGTAAATCCTGAGCGCTCCTTGAATCAGTTGCAATAATAGTCCCAATGTTATTCAAAGTCCCTAAAAATACATAGACATTCCAGTGCTCTCGGGTGAAATCTTATTGATGTAAACGATTTTCAATAAGACCAAGTTATACGGCAAGTATTTTAAACTCGGAAATTAAGGTCAAAAGTCCCAATATTGTGGTATTTTATTAATTCGCTTTAGAAATTAAATATTAGCGTGTAATAAAATTATTAGTCTTAAATTAAAGTCGTATTCGGAGTTTAGATAAACTACATGCAGAAATCTCACTGATCTTGATCACATCAATTTATCTCAAATGGTTTAAGCTAAACACATGATTATAGATGTCGATTACTCAGAAATTTGACTTAGAAAATACGACACGATTTAAACATCCTGAACATGTTCATTACATTTATTTGCCCATCTTTTAAAATAAATTATGTCTAAGTACAGAAGGATCACCATCGGGAAAATACTTCCCGATAACTCGCGAATGTTCAGACGTTGTTAAAAACTTAAATTTTTGGCGTTGTGAATTAATTAATCGAGCCTTAGAAAAGCTTAACTTAACGGCAAATTATTCCTATCGTTTGCTTAAACTGATTGCTAATCTAGTAAAATTAACTATACTCCATATTCTCCATATTCTTCTTTCTTGTTTGTCATTTGAGTTTGTATTTGCTATCCATTTTTGTTGCTAATATTTATCATTGCTTGTATTTTTCATTGCTAAAACCTGGATTGCACGTGTTTTGTACAGGCATTTACTTGTATTTTCTCCCTTGTTCTTGTCGCGCGTGTTTAAGTGTATTCTCTTGAGTTTATCCCCCGGTTCGACTAAAATATTTATTTTTAGGGCACAATCCAGTCGAAGCAAGCGCATCTGTGGATCGGAATAGCAACAATTCGCCGCGGGATGGCGAAAGACAAATCGCTACCATAGAGGCGCCTCCTCCAGCTTCAACTCCCATCGCAATTCCCACAGTGACTTGTGATCTGGCTAGCGATATTTCTACTAGTGATAATGCTAATGATCAGTTGGAGAGCCAAGAGCAAAAAGATACGTTAAAGGTACGAAATACAGATTAAAATTAAATTTAAGATTCTCGCTGGTATCACTAGCTATAATGATGAGCTGGAAAACCAGACACATTTAAAGCCCGCAACATACGGTCCCACGCTGTCGGACGATTTTTCTGGATGTGGTGAACACATTTTTTGGTTGTACAAATTGCAAATTATGTTTTCATCTTCATCCTTACTGTTTCAAAAATCAGGCTCTTACTGCACACTTATTAAATATGTAATGCCACGGCGGTCCGCAAAATCGTACTGCATCGGTGAATCGTGAGTATCGTACCGACGTGAGCTTTTGGTCCGAAAGAACCCACTTGACATATAATGATGCCGTAGTTTCAACTCGTAGACTTTCATAAAGGATGAATCTACATATGTGTTCTTTTAACTCACTACTAATGTCGATCTTAAGTAATTTTCTTCATTCTATTAAAACTCTAACAAAACTTACACTTTATTCGAAACAATTATCTCGTAGATTTTAATACGGTTGAGACTGTCGGAAATTTGAAATTTCGGTCAATTTTTTCAGCCAGTTCTAAAGGGAAATTAATTTATAGTGTAATGAAATTAATGTACAGAGCCCAAACTCTTTAATGGCTGAAAGAACAGTGAGTGGAGTAAGTAATGAATTTTGCGAAAAAAGTTGGATTAGGTTCAAAAGTGTTTCGGTACGCTTTTCAATTGCTGCGAATGGACTGGCTTAATTATCCCGTAATTGGATATTAAAAACGGGAAAATGAAGGAAATTTTAATTTTGCTCTAAGTGCATTTAATTTATATGTTGAATATTTAGGTAGATAACATAGTGAAATATCAGCCGGTATTAATTCGCCAGATGTTTAGTTCGCTAAATAATTATGCTTTTAAATTAATCGAACCAAATTTTAATGATTGCGAAACACTGAATTCAACAAATACGCTCCTAAATAATAATTTTTTATTTAAACATAAGGCAGGATTAGCATGAGCAATATCCGTGATGGATTAGTTTTCAAATTTAATACTTTACATACATTTTAAAAATTCAGTAGTTAATTTAGACCTGTTTAAAAATTCGGACTCAGCAACTTAACACACACAACGCAAACTGGTTAATTAAAAATTATAAATTCCTTCGTTAAGTTTGTAATAGTCAATTACCGCTTAATTGCCGTACTTGCTTCGGCTATCTTGGTAGCAGCAATTGACCGGCGCAATTTTCAACTTAATCCAACTTTTTCCAGAAAGCTCATTAGTCTCTTCTCATAGTGTCCTAAACCGTTAACCCGTCGACGTTTTTTGACTTTATGATTGCCTCGAACAATCTATTCTGTTAGCTGAAGATACTTACTTTGTTGTTGTTTCCACATTATTAAACTTCGATGTAAATTTTAATGCGCGAGGATCTTACGCGAGACAAAGTTTTTGGACCAAAAAAGGCCGGTAACGTAGGACCAGATGAACTTCGAAGTTTCGCCGACTTCCATTCGGGTTTTAGTTGAAGTTGAGTAGAAATTGAATAAAAATTCATTAAATGTCCCGCAGTGAAATTTTCTATTTGCAGTAAAAAAATCGGCATTTTCATAAGAAATCCCAATGTGCGAATAATCGAGCCCCCAGCCCGATTAGAATATATCAGCAGCATTTGCAGCTCGACTATGTAAATATGGTCGAAATGAAACTTTCCTGAAACTCATACCGAAGGTAGCATTTGAGCTGTCGCTCGTAGACCCGAAAAAGATTTATGGAACGTGACTCATCAATCATTATTGCATCCCCAGGTTCTGGCCTTATAATAAAATTAGGCGAGGATAACTAGAAAAGTTTCGATGTCGTTTGGCAAATGAGAGCTTGCCACGAGAATTTGTTTGGGACTATTATAATTATATTTGTTTTGCTCAGCTGAAAATAGCAGATAATAAAGCTGCTAGCACAAATCACTGGAAGTTTTCGATGGATCTGAATATGTTCAAGTTGATAACTATTATTTGGAAAACGCCTTATTCGACTTTAAGGCCAAAATGTAGTGGAGAACCAGGATATATCCTACAATTTGCATGCGACACTGCGCTAATCGTCCATGACAAAAACATACACATGAACGCAAACATACTTCAAGCACTGAACCACAAACACTTGAGAAAAATCAACGCATCGAAGAAAACTGACTGCGATACAGTTGAAGAGAGAAACAGAGGAGCAGAGACAGTGAAATGCAGCGAAATAAAATAACCTGCAGTTGCAGAGGAAATGGAAAAACGATACCCGAACTGGAAAATTATAGAACATTTTTGCTTGAGAACAAGACAATCCGGTTTCATTATTCAGTTTTCAACTACAATTGCAATTAAGAAAATGAACATTACAACACTGTAGAAAAAGGAAATTTGAAGCAAAATGCCCAAACTCTATCGGTTTTGTTCTCAACCCTCTCGAACTTTTCTACGGTAGAAAATTTCCGTGTTTAGCTTGTTTAGATGGTTAATTTCCACTCGCTCTAAACCTCTGAAGCACCCCAAAGTCGAAACGAAACCAATGGGCTCTGAAACACAAATAACGTCCAGTTTTTAATACTTTTGTCTCAAGCTGAGCTGCTAAAGGCAAACCCAATGACAATGATATCCTTCTACTGGCACCTGGAAAAGAATTATTGAGGCCTTATGGAGACAGAGTGAGCCAGGCGTTTATTAAATCCGCCATAAATATTCACAATTGAAACACGATCAGTCCCAAATGGCGCAATCATCAGTCACATGCGATTGAGAGTGACGATATATCAAAAGCTGGAGCTGCTGGAGATTAGGCCAAAATGATTCGGAATGAATCGATGGGCTATAGGGGAGTCATTTGCATTCATTCATAAAACCTTTAGATCCTTAATTGAACGACATTGTGGGTGGTTGAGAGTTATGAACATCGAGAGAAGCTTAAAATCAGACTTCCATGCAAATTTTGAAATATACATTGTATTTAAGCCATACAAAACCGGTCTGCTCCTGACATTCGAATTTTGAAGACATCGTTCCGAAACCCCTTTTCTTTCATAACGCCTGGAGAATTATAGGGGCATTTTAATGGGGTATTTCGAGTGACGCTGCTGGCACATCGATTTCGTATTCATGGCAAAACGCTTCGGAAGCACATTTTTCGGCACCAAATTACTTTCGCTGGTTCATAAAAAATCTCTTACTCGATCCACAATACCTTCCAATTTAAATTATTGTTTCAACATTGTGCAAAATTGGTAACGAGCTGCCGTTTCGTTCTCGCGCCAACGCTCGATGCGCATTCAAAGCCTCTCATCGAACGGCATTCCCGAACGGAAACTACATATTTATTACATAGTTTCTGGAAGGAAAGAATTTGCGCTCGTTGGAGTTCAGTAATTATTCACCAGCACGATTGCAAAAGGAATCCGTAATTATTTGAAGCAGCAGCAGTAAGTGGCAGCAGGAAGCATTGCATTACAACTACCAGCCACTAGCATAATGGTAGATTTTTACTGCCTTAATAATTGCTTATCAACAACATTAAGCATTTAAAAAAAATCTTTCAATTCCCTATTTCAACAGACAAATTTTCAAAACAGTGTTGAGCCGCAACACTTAAATGTTTTGTTTCTGGTTCCTTTGGTGAGAGGCTCAAGTTATTCAGACTATTCAGAGGACACTTTTGGGATAACTTTCGCATTTTATTGTATCCTGTTTTTCTCTGTGCTTTTTAAATTGGTAAATATTGCAAAAATATGTCTTCTAATTTCCATAAATCATCAGTTGCCTTACTGTTCTAGATTTTCGCTAAAGATATTGAAATTATGACCCGGTTATAAGTCAGCTAATGTTCATCATTTCGGAGGGATAAAATCCTTGAACATTGTGCCCCATTATAACCATGCTAAATTTAAAGGCCAAAGTTTGGAAATATTTTCAGGAGTACCCACTCAACAAAATATCTATGACAAAAATCAATCGGCTCTCTCATTGTACACAAGTCGGCCTGGTAGACTTTGAGGTATTAAGTAATTAAATGTTATGGCTCCTTAAGGATCAAAGCCCTGAATTTTTGCCACGGGAAAATAGTTCCCGGTATGCTCTATCAAAGAGCTTTTCTCCTTTTTCGGGCTATTTCTCGCTGTTCCAGTTATGAATTTTTAAATTCATTGGGGACCCTTTAAGGAGCGAAGTCTTGCTACATACATTTTCAACGGCTGCCTGTAGGCTTGAGAAGGGGGTTAAAACGCAAATAAATGAGGAATTTCTGAGAGTGATATATTGAGAATTGCTACATGCTTTATGTGGATTTTTTTAAATTGTTGACTTGGGGGAGCATCAATACCAGATTATGCTTTTTGGCCGCCGCCAAACCAGCTTAAAATTTGTTATATTAACTTCATTCCTGTAATCAAACTTACGGGCTCAAAAGCTTCCAATCTAATAAGCATTCCTGACAAATACCCCCCGGATCTTTTTAATTATGCAAATTTCATAAACCCTATGCTTAGCAATTCTTCGGATCTCTAAGAGTCGGAAACTAACCCTCATTTATTTATATAAATGACAATTCTACACTCCGCGAGCATGTTTGGCGAATTAAAAGGTATTTTCTATTCACCCCCGTTTCACAAATGGCAGAAAGTTTAACGGAATAGAAGGTAATTGGAAACTTTGCGGCAAGCAAAAAAATGCTTTGTTCTAAAAACACCTCCAGACCCACACTATTCATAAGAAAAAAACATACTTAGACAACCGAAAATAGCTAAAATAAACTGCATACGAAATTCGCGAATGTCATATCTTTTCGGGACTTTCCGAAACCTACTTATGAATTTAAATTGGATTTCCCAGGCAATGGAAAGTAAATAAAGCAGGATCTCATCTAAGTTTAAAAGCTTCCGGCGCTGTAGAAAAGTTCTATTGAATTTTAATTTGCACCTGAACTACCTAAGTGCAGCTTTCCTAAATAAAGTTTTTTAATCTTTTCAGAAGCTTGCCACATTGGAGTTTTTTAAGTGACCTTCAAACGATGATTTATTTGACGATTTATGATTGATATTGTGTACTTTGAGGTTTCACCAGATTGTTTTATGGAAATTGATCACTGGATGCTTGAGATTTCTAATTGCTCATCGATTCTGCCTTGTGAAAATTTTACTGACACTTCATTGTTTATTCAAGGCACGCAGTGGCCAAAATACTATTTTATTAGAAAAAATGGATTGATAAAGAAATTACATAAGAAAGCACAAAAATCTCGAAAAGGTTCATTTTTCAATTACACCATAATTTCGCCAAAACCCTAATAAGCCTTATAGGACAGGATCTGGGTGCCCACTGAGTATCCAACCCTCTTCCCACACCTAACGAATAAGGTCAAAGAAATTTGTCTGAAGCGGTCGCTTAACTACCAGAATTCCATTAATATCATGTCCCTGCCAACATTTGAGCAGGGATTGATGTAAGGCTTAGCCTATCCGTTTCGGTTAATGTATTGGTCCAGAGACTAGAATTTTATCGTTGTATCTAATAAACTAAATATAAAAATGTTTTTTTAGTTTAAGGCCTTTGAAACATCATATGCTTGCAACAGATTCGCATGCAGAGGCTGGGAATAAGTAAATCTAATAAAACCTTTCAGAATCATAATATGAGCAGACCTTTAACCAACAGCACAATTTACGATGTGGCTTCCAGCCAGCCCAAAGGCTTACGCTTACCTGAGCTTGCGGATAATATAAACAATCGATGTCGAATGTTTACGATCAACAACTTACTTTTCTAATGAAACTAATCTGGAAACCAAAACACGTTTGTTTATTCTGCTCAGCAACCCCTGATCTAGTGAAAAGCACGTTCGCAATATAACAGTAAATATTCGGTTATTAAATTCTCTTCCTTTACCCAAATAATATAAATAAACAGCGGCTTGCTGTTTTAGGTCAAAACTAGCGTTCCTGGCAAGGACGCAAAGTAAACCTGCTAATCTGCTTATTTAGAAAAGGGTGAAAGCACTGCTGTGCTCTGACAAAGATAACGCCAATGTTGCTGATATATTCAATAGAATTGCAAAATGAACCTATATAAAAATCTTGCTCGAAATCCCCATTACTACTTTACAAGCACGTGCACAGTTTTTCCTATTCACTTGTGTAAGGACAATGGAATAAGATCACAATATGTTTGCGCAAATGTTGAATTTTGACGTTGTTCTCTTCAGTGGGTGCTCCCAATGTGATTCTTTGATAATTATTTTGTGCCAAATATTGATTAATTTCCTAGCTCAAAGCGCCAACGTCGGCTACTTAGATAGTTAAATTTCTTTTAGCTGCACGACTAGTCTACACAAATTCCCAAGCAATATTTGCTTCACTTCAATGACAAAGTGATGGAAACTGGAACATGAAACCCATCTCCAACAAATTTCAATGCAGCAATGAGACAATGCAATGTTTAACTATTGGCTTCGGCATTTCGGCTTGAATTAGCGACTATATGCAAGTGCGTATCAACGAGAAAATATAAAGTTTCCAGCCTAAATCACGAGCGGATTACAATTTCACTGTATGGCAACCTGCCTCAATATTGGGCACTTGTAAATATACAAGCCGCATTCAATCCGACTGCCAGTTCCAAGTTTCAAATTGTTCCGTGATTAGTATTGTTCTCGATAGAAGTAAGCTCTTTAGCTTGATTCGCATTTCTCCTACTTTATGTGCCAATTTTGAGTCAAGTAACCGAACGCAGAAGAGACTGCAAAGAACTATGCAGGGTTAATATGTTTTATATTATTTATGTAGGAAACAATGTTCTTCTAATGGTTTGCAGTGAATCTTTTGATGCACACTGGAATTAAGTGAGCGCAGACAACAAATTTATCAATTATACGGCTAGAATTTACTGTTTCCTCAATAAGTTTCAAGCTGTTTTCTTGCGTGTAAATTTTTATTTTGCATGAATATACGATAGATACAAATTATTGGTTTATTTTCCAATTCAACTGAAATTAGTACACTTTCCACCTGAAATTGCCCGATTTTGGTTTTTTCGTGTTTTAGTTAAAACTTTATTGATTCAAATTATTCAATCAATCATAAATTTGTCATCCAAAAAGATTATTAGCATTGCGCAGTTTTGAACCGTTTCTCTATTTGTTCCGTTTGCAGAAATCTCGCAGGCTTTCGTAAGACCGCAATTTGTAGTTACTTTTTGTGCATCTGTAGATGACGTTCATCTGTAATGCGTACCAAATACTGAAACTAAGTAGTTTTTTTACAAGACTTTCAAGCTTGGCAAATCGTAAATAGCTTCCAAGGAAAGTATTGGTTTATAAATAAGAATGACAAACAGTTTTGCGTTGGTATACTCGTAGAATAGATTTAATCGAAAACAAGCTAAATTTGCATGTCATTAGTATTTTCATCAACCGCTTTAGCTGTTAAACCATTGTTGCTTGTGATTACCTCAATTGTCTTAATTTAATTTAAGAATTTTCTTGAGTTCAAAGCAACAGTAAACGGGCTGTAAAGCACTCAACGCTGATAAGCCAATGATAGATCCATTTTGTTGTAGAAATTTTGTGAAAAATACATAGGTTATCATGAAGACCAATATTTTTATTTTGCTCTGTTATATAGTATTTTACATTTTTTGTAACTGAAAAGCATATTTTTGTTTGATTTTATTTCAACTAAAATGTTTAGGCAGCAAGTCAATTAATATTAGAGCTACAATAAATCGAGCCAACCGAGTCTTGAGAAAAGGTATTCACCATTAAAGTTTCTGTTGAAACATTATGGAAAATTGGGTGTCGATCATTTTTCTAGTACATTTGGAGTCGTGAACACCTTAAATCAGGTTTGCTTTCCATTATGTTTCTAAACTTAACCGATCCTCCTGCATCGGACGCCGCTATTTGCTGGATTTTTGCAATCTTTTATACTAACTAATAGTCTACTTTCTTATTAGAGTGCGTCAGAAAGTTAAAAGGAAATTTCCAGCTGATTTTGGGCAAATAGATTCAGAAAAATGATGCTGCGAAAGGTGATTTGCAATGTTTGCCAAGTATTTTCTTATCTTTACTTTAATTAAATATTTTTCATTTTAAGTGTGTCGAGAAATCTCACTACTGATTTATTGTTTTTATAATACTTATTGAAATCGTTGAATGGGTGCGTATTTGCACAACCCTTTAAACTTTTATACGAAAAAAATATTTTCGGGGGATTGCATTTAACACACTATAAGATCAACATCGGTTATTAATGAAAACTGTAAAATCAAAAAAGTATCGAAAACGCAACCAGTAATCTGTTTGGCAGCAGGATCAATTTTCCAAAAAATCTCTTGAGGAAGAAGCGTTTATGTCTGCTAGAAACGGAATAGAAAAATATTTCAATTAAAATTAAAAATCATGAAATTGACAAAATTATATACGCGTATGTATGCAAATGTATGTATTGCATTCAGCAACCTTTTTTCCCATAATGTAAGGCGGGCATTTTTCAAAGTTTTCCAAATCAATTTCGTTCACTTGTGGTTCTAAAAACAGTGTGAAGATCATGATTCATAATAACCAAAGCACCAGCTTTAGCTTGAAAAAAAATTATCCAATACACTACACTAATCTGTAACATTTTCTGGATGCAAAGACTGCTCATGATTTTTATGTGGATTGTTTTCACACCAGAAACGATAATTTCGTTGATTCACAAAAAAACATCAAACCAAAACTGTGTTTCGTCCGAAAATACGATTTTTGTTCCAATTTCAGGATCAATTTCAAGCTTCTCTAAAACCGAATTTGCAAACAAGCGACGCTTTTTATGGTCCAGTGGCGTCATTTATTGACTGAACACAATCTTATAAGGATGTAAGCCTAAGTCGTTTCGCACAATACTCGAAGATTTTAGAAGCTGTAACTCTTGTGAACGTTGTGGAATTGGCACATTTGCAACTGGAGCTACACTGGCCGGTGTAACCATGCTCACATTTATCATCTATTAATAGCATGCATGGAAAGATCATTATTTTGTCCATAAGTCGCGCCTAAGTGAAAAAACGATTAATTGATAAAAGTTTTGGATAATTTCTAAGTGCTTTACATAGTGAACATAAAATTCATCTGATCATTTCTATTGGAAAACCATTTACACAGGTTCAAGATCTATCATAAAATTCAAAAATATTCGAGGACCAAGACCTACTATAATATTCAAAATGTAGATGTATGTAGACTTGATAGAATTAAATGAGCTTAGAGATGAAAGTCTAAAGGACTCAAATCTGGTTAGTTGTAGGACCACTAAATATTTCAACTTCCCTTTCAACGTTCGGTATTAATATGAGATGCTACATTTCTTCATTGTTCTCAGGTGTTTATCCAGCCAAGAAGTAACACGCTTTCAGCGTGCCAGTTTCGGGGTTCGACCTTATCGGTGAATGGTGAATTGCAACAGCAAGCGGCAGCTTTAGCCAGATCCAGACAACCATCGATGGGAATCGACACCGACATGGTGAGCGAGTTCGATCCGAGTAGTTCGGACAGTGGCGTAGTGGCACATTGTACGACAGTGAAACCGCTCAAACTCCGGTTGTGTAAACCGATATTCGGGCGTGCCAAACACTCGAAAAACCGCCGGACTGACGACAAAAAAACAGCGAAAGGCGGAGAGAGCAACGGTGCGGAGACCAAACCGGTTGTGGAACATGTAGTGCCTCGAGTGCAAAAACCAAGGGACCCCGAAAGGGAAAAAAGACGAATAGCTAGGAAAAAAGAAAAGAGGGCCACATTAATTTTAGGACTTATTATGGGTTCTTTTATAGCGTGTTGGCTGCCGTTTTTCTTTATGTACATATTAAGACTGGTCTGTAAAATTCCACCCATAGCCTTTTCCACAGCCTTCTGGTTAGGGTAAGTTCATTCTTCACTACTCACTCACGTTATTCCACTTAAACAACCCTAAATTTGATTGCAATTTCAAGAAGCATCCATTTTCGAACTGCTATAAGTTGAAACAAAAGAATTTGAACTGAAATTTTGTCAGTCTATATTTTTCCAAAACATTCAACGTCTTCCACATTTGGTTTGATCGGAACTAAATCCGGTAAGTGAGCGATTCTTTCTTATTTGCAGATATATGAATTCGGCACTTAATCCCGCCATCTACACGATCTTCAACAAGGACTTCCGAAGAGCATTTAGACGGATTTTGTTCAAGTGATGTTTAGCTTACGTGTGCTGCTATGAGTGCGTGAGTCGACGGGTTCGAACTGCGCAGTACCGCAGCGCACCGAGCGCCCTGTATAGACACTAATATTAGTTGTTTCTAAAAAATATATTTTTGTTATCGATTGTTGCCCTCAATTAGACTGTAAACGCTGTTAAGTCGAATAAAGCACGCTTAAATCCAAAACCTAACCCAAAAGATTTCCAAATGTACTCAGTTTAAGGTCAAATTCTTCAGTTCCATTGCGTGATGAAGCAAAAGTTTTCAAACTCTGAAAGTTTTCAAAAAATCAAAGGCGTTAGCTTGTATATCAATATGTTCATTTGCTGTTTTAATCTAACCACTAAATATTTTTCAAATTGCCCGCGAACTCTTCAAACTGACGTCCTCTTTTTCACTTCCAAATGACGACAGAAAGCTAAATTTAAAGTATCAAAATGAATTGAAACTAAGCTAATGGTGTCCGTGACTGAAACATTAGATCTTGATCTCTGAGCCTAAGAACTTGAAAATCATATAAAACTGTTCGAAATACATGAACTGCGGATTGTTTAATAAACTCGAAAAACGTGTTATGGAAAATACTTTCCAAATTATTCGGGAATTCAAGGAAACAATAATATTCAGATTTAGCCCATCAGGGCAATTTGAAATGTTGCGCAGCGTAAATAAAATCTACCAAAAACATTTACTTTAATTATTTGCAGCCAGCCCTTCGTTAATATTGTTTTACAATTTGTATCTTCATTACCTCGCGAAAATGCCATGAAAATTCCCATTACCGTTGCAATGACGGCCCACTCATGACCGGTGCAAACTTGATTTAAAGAACAAAATATCCAAAATCAATAGCAAATATTCGGTAGAACGTTTGCGGGAAACCCAAAAGACAATTGCAAAAACTTCATTTTAAAGCCATATGGTCGAAAAGCCATTTTAATGTATTGGCACTTACCAGTTCTCATAGCAGCTATAAAACAAATATAAAGTGCTTCAATGCGTATAAAAATTCAATTCAAAATCAAAGCTTTTGCAGTGTAAATGCAATAAAAGTCCCGTTTTATTTAGCCGTATTACTTTCCAACTACCCTAAAGCTAAGAGGAAATCTCAGTGGTGCTTTATCCAATAGAATTCAGTTCCGATACCTCAAAACTGAGTGCGGGTTTAATACAATTTTGATATGAGCACCAAAATCAGCTCACTTCGAAAAGGCATATTAAGGGCGTGTCAATCAAGCGGGAATTCAGGCATAAAAATAATATATAGGGACTGTGAACAACGGTATTCACGCTTGAAATATCTCTGAAGGCTTTTAAGCTCGGGTATAGGAAATAGGCAGGAAACCTCAAATCCCTCAATGCATGTTGAAATTGTTTTTAAAAATCCCGAGTAATAAATCATAGGGGTTTTGTTCAATCTTTTAAATAATTCCATTAGCAGAAGCTCTCCAGGTGAAAACGTTGGAGAATCAGTGGCGAAATATTTACGTGCAAGCTGCAAAGAGCGAAGGTGAATTAATACAATGGGGCTTGTATGTAGGCAATAAAAACTTTTATCACTTCCTTAATGTTTTCCGCTACTTTCGCTTCTAAGCCGTAGCAATTCGTTTTAAGTAAATTAAAGAAACAAAGTCTGAGTGAAAGTTTTGACTTGATGCCGTGGAAATGTACCCAAACAAGGATAAACCTTCGAAGAATAATTCTTTATTTAAGCCCTCTAAAAGCAAATCCGCTTGAATTTTTTACTGTGACACAGCCCATTTTAAACCGGAATGAAACTGGCTGTCACAAGATACCGGGGTGATATTTCCCCATTTTTTTTTGTTTTCCGACATTCTCCACAACAACCCTTCGTTAAGGGTAGAGCGAAATTGATAGAGAGCATTTACAGTCCATTAGAGGCGCAACTTAACTATTATATTGTTCTGTCGACAATCCTCATCTCATGTTATATTTAATTCATCTTGCAGGGTAGTAGACATCAATCGACATTCGTCCATGTGTCGCCCAAAACCTATATTTGTATCTCGACGGATTATGGCAAATTAACTGTAAGGGTTGTAAGGTTATCCGCGTATTCCGAGTTGGTCAAAATATCGGCTTGTTCATCGGCTTTCCGAGCTAATAAACGAAGGACCAAATTTATCAAGAGCGATGGGGAAACGGTAGAAATTGTCTTCCGTTTGCCTTTCTGGGGCAAGGAAGGCAATTTCTACATGGCCTTCCATACTGAACGGTGCACAGGCAAACGAAACGCCCAGAAGTTATTCCAATTGCCACGGATACTTTCCAACGGATATTTTTACCAACTTAGTCTTTGTATTTCGATTAACTTGTCTTTGCTGGTTCAAAATGAGTTGAGTGAGGAAAAAACGCCCCTATTCTGTACCTAATTGTATTCAGCAGTTAATCAAACAGCATTACCTTTCGCAGCCATTGCATGAAACTCAAAATGTATTCTTCGTGTTTCGAAGAACCAGTAGCTTGCGCAACTTCACCAATTTTTATTTTTTTGGTCTTAGCCGATCTACTACCCGAGAAAACCATTGTTAATAACTCCCTGTCATTAAATTGTCTTCTTTTCTGCAATAGGGAATCGCTAGCTGATGCTTACCAAAAAGTTTTATAGTTAGGAAAATAGCAGATTTTATTCGATTTTATCGATAACGTAACTAGAGTAGTTTAAAGGGTTTTTAAATCGGAACCCCAGGTTCCGAAGATATCGTCTAAAGTTAGTGAGAAATCATGGGATTAGTTAATACCGTAGCGGATGTTGATTCAACACCTGCACGTGGAAATTAAATAATTTCGTATATTTTCACATCAAGCCAACAAGTACCTAATTCATGTACAAACTTGTAACCAGAAATCAAACACCATTTGGGCCGAACAGTGGGAGAGCAAGCAAGTGTTTGATATTTGTTTTGGGCACTATATCAATTTCAAATCATCAATACGACATATCATTGAAGTCAGAACATATATTTTCACGTAGGCCTGTAATGTTGCAGAATGTAGCTTTTTATAAAATTCAAACATTTTATATGAAATTGTATAATATTTTATCAAAGGGTTGTTTTTTCCGCCTCCAAAAAGACTATAATTTACGCGTGTAAATCATACCCTTGTAAATTATGAACATTATTTTCGAAAGTTTATGTGCCACTAAGTTGGTTGGATGTAATTAGGTGGACAGGGTGCTGTACATTGTAAGTTGTGTTTTGACTTAGCAAAACATCTCACACATGAATCTTTCAAAAAAATAGCGTCTATAATAAATTTAAATTAGATTTATATTACATAGATAGAGCAGCCTCATTAGCGATTCCCTAATATTGTTTATTGTCTAAACCAATATGGAGCAATGACTACCACTGTGATAACATAACGCTTTTATTCTGAAATTTACGGTATAAGCAGTTTTACCTAAACAATAAAGGTTTATGCATTAAGAAATAACAGAAAATAATTGATGTTTTAGATTTAAAAAACCCGACAGATTATTTTCATTTATTTCAATTTCATCTAAAAATAGACCTGCAAATAAAATACGACACTCTAACGGCGCCAAGTTTGTTTGAAATAAATCGAATAAAGATCAGGTATTTCGATTTAAAGCGCGATTATTAAAATTTATATACAACAAGTCTTTATTATTATCGTGAATTTTATTTGCTGCATTTGAATTATATACCGATTGCCCTGTCGGGTACCTCTATTGTAAATAGGTAGCTAGATTTAACTGATATTACATATACGCCATAGTGTAAATGTTTAAAGTCGAATAGTTTTAAATTTTAACTAGTGTTATATATTCTTTTCCGTTCTGAAAGTATAGCCGGAGACTTGAGTGAAATAGGAATATGTTCCCTAAACCTTCACATACGAGACAGGGCTGATTTTTGAAGTTCTACTTATCTGTTAGAAACATGTAAAAGTTGGAACATTTCAGAAACATTTTTAACTTCAACTGTCGCCTGCGGAGACATTTTAGCACGGTGAAATTCAAGCGTGAAAATCTACAAGTGGATGTTTTATACGCAAGAAATTTACATGAACAACAAATGCTTCTAGAAGTGTATTCAGGTGTGTACTTGCTCAATTAATTTGAACTTTGTTTTATTWAATCCATTCAATTGAGGAAAGCTCTAATAAAGTACCCTTGACATAAAAGCATTTATTTATTAAACCATCRCTTCGAAAGTCAACCCTTGACCGTAAACAGGAGAATCAAATAAAATGCCTTTCCAAGCAAAATAAATCGGACAGCTRAAATACTCAGCAGTGCGGGTATCGGTAAAAATATCAATACATCACACCTTTGGAGGCCAATTTGACTCTACAGTCCCGAAAAAGCTGTTCAGTTGRATTTAATTCTCTCCTTTGTTGTCAACATTTACTCCAGGTAGAACTGAAGTGAACAGCACCATTTTTATGTTAGAGAGTAATTTAAAATTTAAAAAGTATACAGCTGATGCCTTTTATCAGGTCTCTGAAGGAAGTCTTCCACGAGAGGGGGGCGCACGAGTCGCCTTAGACTTTTTGACTATTTCTTGTGCAACGAAACTATTGGTGCTAAATGACTGCTAGAGGACCGGAAACACGATCGATTCCTTAATAATCTTGTTTCCGGTTATAGGCTTTCGTGTTAACGGAATAACCAGAATGCTTGAGCCCGCATTCTCGTCTGTTCCAGGCCCCGCTCTCTAACATTGTTATATCTATAGACTTATTGTTACCAAAAAAAATACTAACAATTATGATACCTTATCTATAACACTGTCCTATATTTATGTGTGTACATTTTTCGTAATTAAATTTAAATATTATTTAGGATAAGACTACCAATATGAATAAATCGATAATATAAAAGGAGTTTGGAGTTTTATTTTCTGGTAAGCACTTTGAGAGGTGGAAGAGAGTAACCAGCATACGTTCAAATAGCCACTGGAAAGGCGGCGCTATCTGTTAAATCCCTGCAATTTTCAACTATTTGCACTAAACAGTCTACTTTTTCATCAGAGTGCGTCAGAAATCTAGAAGCAAATATTGCCAGATGATTTTTGGGCAAATAGATTCAGAAAAAGGATTTTGCAAAAGGTGATTTGCAATATTTGTCCAGTATTTTCTTATCTTTTTTTTAATTAAATATTTTTCATACTTAGTGAGTCGAGCCAAATCCCAATACTGGTTCGTCATTTTTATTATCGTTGCTTAAAATCGGGGAATTGAGCGTCATTTTCATATAATTTTGCGGGACAATGACAAATGCACTATAAGATTACGGTGGGTTATGCATCAAAACTTAGAATTAATATAATATATAACTTATAATTAATACAATATTAAATACTTTGTGTCTTTATGTTGAATGCCGCAAAAATTATGTTGCACTCAGCTCTACCCTTAAAATTTGCGAAATACACATGCAGGCTCATTTAGGTATCTGGAAACAGAGCGAATACAGAAACAAACGCAATCCGACTTTTTTTTCCAAAGATTGAATTTGGAAAAACCAGTTTAAATATTCTTCTATATGTACTCCTAAGAATTTGGTATTATTTTTAAACGTTTATTTTCACTTTCCAAAATATCCGCACGTTGTCTATTCCATTCAATTTCGTTTAATACAGAAAAGCAATAGTCTTTCTCGAATTCATGCACAATTTACTTTTTTTAAACCAGCTTGCGGTTTTTTGCTATAACCCTGCAGTATTCCCTTAGTTTCATTAAAATAGCTGGAGAACGAAGCTTTTAATTTTGAAGAGACTCATTTACGTTCCGAGAACTTTGCAACATTTTGCTGCAAACAATTTTTGTCACAGTAATTTGAAATTTAAACACAAAACAGCCTGAATTGAAAAACATGATCAATCTTAAGTTTTCAACGGACACTGAAATTTATTTGCTCAAAACACTACCTATAGCGAGAGCAAAAATTTGCAGCCTAGTTTGAATCTCTAAAACATGACCGAAATAAGGTTTTCAATCAAATCAGTTGAATCTACTAATTCGTGCTTTCCTTTAAACAAACATTTTCCAAAGCTCTGTTAGCTTGGTTTTAATTACTAATCAAGTTTTTGATTTACTCGTGTATTTTTAGTTGTAATTTCTTGCCTATCTCTGAACAGTTACTTTAAGCATTGTAATCTTGCCTTCAAACCTTGATTCGTCTTCTCAAAATTTCCAAAAAATCCTGTCTGTTTCGCAAATTAGAATATTATGCTCCCAACGAAAACGTCCTCGTTGACTAGTCCATTTAATTCCAATCTACTTTAAATATTTAAGCCACTTCTCCAGTTAATGTTATGTGATATAATACATTTGGGAGCATCAAAGCATAAGTGAATAGAACGGGAAAGCGAAGCGAGGCGCAAAGACAGATCGACAGTAAATCATGCCGACTGGATGTTGAATGTTTCGTTCAAACCGAGTACAACTGAAATATGTAAATTCCTGACAATCTCCACATATAAGGCTAGTGAAGAAAAGTTTCATTGCATTTCGTCGGCGAAAATATGCCTAAGTTAAGAACCCCAATAATTCCCTGGGAGAAATCTCCTTAAATCCAGTTATCATAGATTAATGCAAATGGCTGCGAAATATTCTAGTTTATGCCGCAGCCGGGCTCTTTCATTTCCATAAAACAGGCGTCACATATTGACAAACACAGGCGCATAAGTTTCATATTTATTTGCATTTATTAAAACAGTTCAGTAAATTAAATGGAAACACGAGTCTCATTTTAAGTTTTTGCTATTTTTCCCGTATTATTTTGACCCTCACTGTGTTACATAGATATGCGCAAATGTACCAGTTTTGTTTAAACTGATCGCATTTCACACGTTTGGTTAATTATTGCAACTGCGGAATTGCTATAATCAATACCAAATAGGCATCAGGTTACATATTTATCAGTGAAATTCAAGTCCGGCAGATAGAATCGTGCAGTTTAAATAAACTGCTCAACTCAACAAAATAAAGGTTGTAAATTTGCCCTAACTTGGGACCTGAATAACGTCTGATTGCTGCGAGAGATTTGGTTGCTGTTCTAAACCTTTGCTAGTACAGTTGTTTGTCTCTCACGAAAACTTGAGGTAGAGTTTCTACAGGGTACAAAATGAAACCATCCAAGATTTTTCAAAGTTTGGCAT